ATGACAAGGAAAAGGGGAAGGGCGATAGTAAGGCTGATGGTAAGGGTAAGGGTAGTGGAAAAGGTGAAGGCAAGAAGGGCAAGGGTAAACCATGTAGGTATTGGTTTAGTTCGTCTGGGTGCCCGTATGGCTCTAGATGTGCTTTCTTGCATGAACCGGCGGTGACGGTTCAAAGCGGCAGATGCTTCAGGTGCTCTGGTGAGGGTCATCGAAAAGAGAACTGCCCTCACCATGATGCTGGCGGGAAGCCTGATGTGCCTAATAGCTCTGCCCCGGCCGGGAAGGCAAAGGCGAGTGCCAAAAAGCTTGGCGCTCCTGAGTCGGGGGCTGTTGCGGAAACTGCAGATTCTGTAGCGGCCCGTGATTCTGAAGCGGCTCAGAGTGCGCAATCTGAGTTGCTACGCGAGGCCACGGCGGCCTTGAAGGCTCTCGCACTTAGGGCGATGAGAACTGCTCGGTCGATCATAGGTCATCCTGAAAGGGAGGGAGCCGGTATTGGTCCAGAGCGCTGGGTTGGGCCCGGGACTCTTGAGTTTGAAGGGCTTGAAGGGGGTCCACAAATTCGGGTAGCTACTTCAGCCGGTAAGGCGTGTGGCCTGCTTGACAGTGGTGCTTCAGTTTGCATGCGGGAGGCCAAGACAGGGGAACTTCAAAACTCCAGCAAGAGGTTGGTCTCTCTCGCCGTAGGTGTGCAGGAGATGCACACCAATCATGTCGGCACGATTGTGTGTCCGGATCCGGTCATGCCTATTGTGTCGTTGAATCAGCTGGTGCAGGCTGGTTATCGGTTGCGTTGGAAGTCTGAGAAAGGGCTTGAGCTGAAAGATAGGAAGGGGACGAGGGTCCCTGTTGACATGTCGTCGGGCTGTCCTGAGGTACCACTCGCGTGGGCTTTGAAGATGATAGACGAGATTGAAGGTAGGTTGGCTAGGGCAGGGCTTGTTCAACATGCCGCGCGCAACTTGCGACCGGAAGCTCCTACTGATCCCCACCTGATTCTGCAAGGGTTGCGTGAAGCATACGCTGCTGGTCAAGATGTCGCAGGGTGGGTTCGATTATGGATGGGGGCCATCATGCCCGCGATCCCGGCCGAGCTGTTGGATTGCGCTGCAGTTGATGTTGCCTTCGCTGGTAGTGCTTGGGCATGGAATCGCCGCAAGCGGCGCACCCTGTTTCAGGCCAAACATGGCATCCTTCTCAATCTCTCCGATGGCACATCAAAGGAAAAGTTCAGGACCGTAGCGAGTAGGAATGGGTTGGCTCTTCTTGATGTGGATCTCAGTGAGGACTCGCGGCTTGAATCGGTCTTTGGGAGTCTTTTG